AGAGAACATACGGCAACGCAGGGCGCCCGTTGCGCCGTGCAAGTCCATCCTTGAGGTGTATTGATCGAGATGGGCATCATGGTCGGAGGCCCCATCGTATAAACCGATTTGTGGGACTTTTACCTTTCCCGGAAGAGGTTCTGAGGTTAGTTATGAGGCCAGGGGCGAGTCGATTTCTACGTCTGCATGTGCCGAGGTGGAATCACGGCGTCCATGAGCATCGCGCATTCTCTGTCGAGTTTCCAAGTCGGCCACCCTTTTCCTAAGCATCTCAAGCTCAAGGGATTCATGCCGTGCGAGACGATTTTGTTCAATCCGTTGTCGCAAGTCGGTTTGCCTCGCAGGTTGTGATAATAAAAGAACAGGGATAGGATTCACCAGATTTTCCTGTGGTCGAGCTGAATGACTTTCGGCCGTTTGTTCATGCAAGTGGATTTCTGGTGGGATCACATTAGCTTGAAAAGGAATGTTTGTTTGAATCATGGGTCCCTCTTTGTGTGGTTGAGGGATTTCTTGATGAGGGTGAGAGGTTGCGTGAGACTGTGCAGCTCTGCCATGAGGCGAGACATGTGGCTTTGGTTTAGAAGGTTGAACGGGATTCGCTTGTGAGGCCCCAGGAATGGTGTGGACCATTAAAGTGGTAAATCCTTTGACAAATTCAGGGTCCTGAAACAAAATGTTATAGTCTGGAAGCACTGGTGTTGCAGTTGGTTATGCAGTGGATTTTGCAGCGTTATTGGTTTGTCCAGCTCTTGAAGTTTGTTCAGATTGAGACATGGTGAATAGATTGATAATCACACCGCTTATGTGGCACAAAATAACGTAATACGTATGCAACTTCGTCAAAGATTAACCTCAAACAAAATATGATCCCCCCTTCCTCTAGCGCCAAACTGTTGTTATGCGAAATTTAACAACCACAATGTACGTAACTTAAACAAGAATAACTTTATGTATTGATATGATATCATTTGTGTACAAGATGTCGATTTTATGAAGTAACTGAGATAGCATGATAGAGTATGGAGAAGTCGATCCTTTCTATTACAGTGAATCTTGCTATTTATAGTCACGAGGACTTTGACTTTTTGTACGAGGTAGATAGAATCGCATTTAATATAAATCTCCTTTATGATGCGGTGGCTCGATCATCAAAGAAGGTATAATGATTATGTTTTTGGACTCGACCCAATTAGAATGGTTCTTAGTCACCAGCTTTGGGATTTGGTCAAGTCGGTTCTTGGTGTATGGATAAGAAAGTCGGGAGTTTTGGGAAGAATCAGGAAACAGTGGTTATCTCGGGAAGTTGATCCAACCGATTCATTATACCATTTAGAAAGAGTAATTTGAGTCGGTTGTCAACAGGTATGATGAGGTGTGTTCTCGAACGAATTAACATGCATTAGTCTAACAGTATTGTGCAATCTCATAATCACTATTGTGCATATTGTTTAACAATATTGTGCCTTCATATACAAATAAAAGCTACAAATGAACCAATTTGAGTTAAGTTTCGTAAATAATCAAAATAATTATTATTTATATTATAGATATTTATTTATAATTTCAAATTTTTTTATTTATTATTTCATATTAATTTAATGTTTTTACTGTTTTTTACTGTTTTTATAATTAATTTTGTTTTATGTATAAAATACTGTATAATAATAAGTTTTTATAAATTATATATTTGACCCAAGGACCTAACTGGAATATAATTAAAACTCAAATAATCACAACTAGGTCCCCCCATATATATTTAATTCTAAAAAACAAGTCCCCTTCCCCACCCCCTAACTAGAAGCTCAGCCCGTCAGTGCCGTCGTTCACCTCTCCCCATCGCCGTCGTCCGCTTCTTGCCGCCCGATCATATGGTGGTGTGTTTCTCGTCTACAGCCGAAGAGGACGTGCCTCCATTCCCGGAGACGCTGGGGGAGTTTGGGCGGCGGAGGTCCGTTGGCTTGGACGACTTTTAGGGTGGAGGAGTTGCAGGACCTTAAAGACGGTGCCTCGGTTGCCTTGGCCGAGGACATGGAGTTTCTTGAGATCGGCGGCAGATCGGAGATGGTGCTTGAACAAGGCGGCGGCCGGAGAAATTATGGAGATAGGAGGTGGAGGTTGTCGATGCAGTTTGCCGTGGCCGAGAACATGGATTTTCTCGAAGACGCCGGCGGAAATCGGAGATGGTGCTTGAACCATGGCGGCGGCCGGAGGAGTTATGGAGACTGGAGGCGGAGGTTGACGACACAACCGGTGTTGGACCTGCGACGATGAAGATGACGATGGAGATGTTGAAGGATTAAAAGCTACTGTGTGTGTGTGTGTGTGTTTGTTTGTTGGTGTGTGTATCGGGGTGTGTTGGTGTGTGTACAATGTGTGTATTGTGGAGAGAGAGAGGGCATTGGGCAATGTGTGTATGGATGCAGGGTGTGTGATGTGTGTGAAAGAGAATGAGTTGGTGGTGAGTTGATAAGTTAGGAATTAATTAGGGTGAGGTGGGGACGGGCTGGTTGATAAAATTGCCACATTGTCCTCAAGCTGTTTAAAATCTATGGCTTTTTTTAGCTGTTGGATTATCCAATCCAATTGCAGAAATTTATTCTTATTTCTTTCACCAGATACCTTTCTCACTTGAACCCCTACATATATATATATATATATATATAAACTATTCTTCAAATTAACATAATTTACCATTTGAGAAATGATGACTAGATACATTAATAATTTTAATAATGGTCAGATAATAAAATCAAAATATATTAACTATTCCTTAAAACTTCAGCATTTATTTGTAAATTATGTCAACCATGGTTAATTTGTTTTTATCATTTTTTTTTTAATTTTGATATATTTCCTCAATGAAATACTTATAAATTATATTTTCATTGCATAGTATGCTAATAAAGTACAAAAATTATGATGCAAATTAAAAAAATCTCTTGATTATAGAAAGAATTTAGTTTTTAGCAATTCATAAATTAAAGTTTCTTAATTATTATAAAAAATAATTTCTAAAATATCATACGTGTATATTTATTAAAAATTTTATATAGAATATTTTATTTTTAATTTACTTACGTACATTAATAAATAATATTATCGTATATTAAATATATTAATAAAATAAAATAAAAAAGTAGAAAAAAAACTACTTCTATAACACTCATATAAACTATAATGACATTATATGACAATAATTTTTATAAATATTATATGTTGAATAAGAATATAACAAATATTAATTTTCTTATATCAAAAATTAAATACATATACTAAAATCTAATTTATATTAGAATAATTGACTCGAAATAATAACATATTAATTAATTCAAAAACTATGGCTAATAGGCTCGAGTTTAACGTTTTGACTAAAAAAAGTTGATTAAAAGAAGTAGAAAATAAATAATCGAACTCGATTACCTTTCAACCCTGAACTGACATGCCCTATGAAAACGATTCATTTAATATCTGTGACTCGTGCAACGCACGGGCTACGTACTAATTCATTCGGAACATAAATCATCATCTATACTTATATAAAGAGCCATTCTATTTACTAAAATTAGTAGCAAAAAATAGGTTATCATTTAATGCAGTCCATGAATAGTAGTTTTATTATTTTTTTATTTTATTCTTTAAATCATACAATTTAATTTATAAATACGCTTTAATATAATCATACAATTTAATTTATAAAAATCATACAATTTATTTTTTTTTTGTAAAAATACGCTTCAATATACATATATATTACTTTTTGTAATAAATTGAATAAAATTTACTTAAATATCTAAACAATTTAAAAATTCAAATGTTTAAATTAATTGAGAAAAAAATTTATAAATCTCTATTTATTTAAATATGTAATTTTATTTAAAATAATTTTAAATAGAGCCAAATTTATTTAGAAAATCATATCGATCCAACAAGTTCAACTGACTGGTGTTGACGGATTAGCAAATATTTTATTCAAGTGAACTAAACTAATTACAAACCGGTTCTCGGTTCCAATACGGTTTAATTTAAAAACGATGGGTAAATCTTGATAAATTTATTTGTATATTTAGTTATAACACAATTATAATATTATTTTCCCGTGCATCGCACGGGCCATATTAATAACACTCATATTCCTTTTGAACATAAGTCATTATTATAATGTAAATTAAATAATATGTAAGTCGATTTTTAAATTCTGCCTACTTAATCTCTCACATGGAATTTCAATTTGGTTATAATTGCTTCACAATTTAATACTTTAAAATCTTGAAGGTAACCAACCAAACCAATTTATTTTTTAACACAATATAAAAAAAAACAGTGAAATATGTTTCCATATTCATCTGGTTTTCTGTCTTAAAAGTTAAAGTAATGATATGATATGATAAATACAGTTGTACACCTCCTTTCCTCCCGGCTCACCCCACCTTCCCCACAAACACACACACACACACATCAAACTCAGAGACAGCTAGAGATAGTTCTGTGTATGTATATATGTATGCATATATTCACACACACACACACACAATCACACACACACATTATATAGTAACAAAGATTTCCACACAGTATTTAATTAGAATTTCTTGAATTCAGAAAACTGAACGATACATCAACACACTCATTTAGCGCGCGCGCGTTGTAGAGAGTCTTTTTGTAGATATATGCTTTCGAGTTCTCGTGAATCGAGAAAATTTTATTTTGCCTGAGATTGGATTTGGAAACCCAAAGAAGTTGTAAATAAGTTTCTCTGTATTCTGAGGTGATGAGCTTCGAAAATTTGATTTATTTATTTATTTATTTTTTTCTCTTTATGAATTCATTCCTCTGCAGGTCTCTTATTCCTCTCTGTATTTATTGCTCTTCTTTCATTTAAGTTGATTTTAAATGATGGTGGCAGTTGCAGGGGTCATTTAATTTAGTGACAAAAGGTGAAATTTACCAGTGGAGGAGCAGTCAGTCTGCAGCCTATCAAGGAAAGGGGTCAGTCAGTCATGTTGAACAACAAAAATGTAATGAGATGCTATTTATTTGTTTCTTTTTACATTTATTTTGGCTGTGAAATTTGATGCCCTGTGGAGTGGTTTGTATACTGTAATTTGCAATTTTTTGCCCCCGAA